CTGAACAATGAGCAGACATTGGCCAGACAAGGAGGAGCGGGAGAGGAAGGGCACTCCAGGCAGGGGAACAGCATGTTTGTAAAGGCTCAGAGGCAGGGGCGGAAAGCAGCTTAGTCAGGCTGGGGTAAAGCTGGTCTGAGGCTGGGCACTCCAGGCCCTTCCTGGAGGATGTCCCAGCTGCTCCCCCCCAGCCCCTGCCCCCGACTCTTGGCAGGATGAAGCTGTGGAACGCTGCAGCCGTCCAGAGCCACCCCGCGAGCACTTTGGACAGCGGATCTTGGTCAAGTGTCTGTCACTCAAGTAAGTGTACTGATGTGTCCCTCTTCTGAGAGGCATGAAAGGACCACATGGGCTCCAGTGGCGTACACACTACATGAGCAGTGCCATTATCATGTGCAGCCCTGTCACCTACAAGGCCACCTATGGCCACCACATACGCCTGTATTTATCCAACCAACATTTGCTTGGTACCCAGCGTATACTTCTGTGTTTGTATGTAGCCATTTATAGGGGGGAGTAAGACTTCCTTTTTCGTTATCCCAAGTTGCCAATCCTTAAGTGCCAATTGTGTGCCAGGATCGGCCCTCAGCCTCTCATATATATGAACCCACCTAATCTTCACCACAACCTCATGAAATGGGCACAGGTGGGGAAACTGAGGCACAGAGTGGTAACATTATCGTGCCAAGATCATATGACTTGGGAGGCTGGAGTCTGGCACTTGCCTACTCTGCTGCTGGGATCCGGGGTTTGGTAGGGAGGTTTTGGGGCGGGTGCTAGCGACCCTGGGCCTAGCTGTCAGCGGCCCAGGGCCCCCTCCACACCAGTCCCTGGGGAGCAGCAGAAGTGCGTGGGAACAGAGCTGAGCAGGATGTGGACTTGGACCTGAGCCTGGCCCTGCCTCTCCCCACCCGGAGTTCCTGCCTGGATTGGGGCAGGAAAGGGAGGCTCCATTCTGGCCTGAGGCCTGGGTGGGCCTCTTGCCCTAAACACAAGGATTGGGAACTGGCTCTGTGGGCTTATCCAGTCATTCAACAAATACTTATTGGCCTGGTGCGGTGGCTCACGCCTGTAATCCTAACACTTTGGGAAGCCGAGGCGGGCAGATCACCTGAGGTCAGGAGTGCAAGACCAGCCTGGCCAACATGGCGAAACCCCGTCTCTACTAAAAAAAACAAAAATTAGCCAGGCGAGGAGCAGGCACCTGTAATCTCAGCTACTCGGGAGGCTGAGGCAGGAGAATCGCTTGACCTGGGAGGCAGAGGTTGCAGTGAGCCAAAATTGTGCCACTGCCCTCCAGCCTCAAAAAATAAAAATTAAAAACAAACAAACAAAAAACACATACGAAGTCCCTACTGTATACAGGACACACAACCATGTGATGACCACACAGAGCCAGGATAAGACATGCTCAAAGTGCCTAGAGTCCTGGAGGAGGCTCCTGAACCAGCTTGAGGGGTGGAAGCGGGTATCTGGGACAGCTTCCCTGATAGGGGGATGTATACACAGAGACCCGAGGAGGAAGAGGAGCTGGCTGAATAGAGGGGTTAGAAGGGATGTAAGGGGCACACCACACGCAAAAGTGGGGAGACATGAGTGTTTAGGCACCCCTTCCTTCTGGAGATGGGGGAGTATGAGACTGAGCGTGGGGCGGGGCGGGGCCAGGATTTTGTGCTGGGCCCTGCTGCGGAGGCCAGGAGTGCCCAGTTTTTCAGTTTGGAGGTGTGTGGTGAGCCAGGGCCAGCAAGGTGGAGACAGAGAAGCAGGTATGGTGGCAATTCAGGTGAGCGAGATGGGAACTCCGTGCAAAGTGACAGTGGTGGCAGATGACACCCCAGAAAGGAGGGACAGGAAAGCCCAAAAGTTGAGATTTTCAAGATACGGGGATTGTTGAGCCCAGAACTGCTCCATACCAACTGAACAAGGGCTGTGGTGGTTGCAGGGAGGAGAAGCACTGTATGGGTTACTTACTGATGGTGTAGGAAAGGGGGAAAAAAAAAAACTTCAGTGCCTCAGTTTCCCCTTTGCAAAGTGAGAGGTACCTTTTCTGTAAGCCCTTAAGTGGCGGTTCCATGTGGCCCAGTGGGAGTCGGTGCCCCCCACGTTGGGTCTCAAGAGGGAGTGGGGTGTGTGGATGGCAGGGGGTGTCAAGGAGAGCCCCCGCCCTCCCACTTACTTCCAGGTTCGAGATTGAAATTGAGCCCATCTTTGGGATCTTGGCTCTGTACGACGTGCGGGAGAAAAAGAAGGTAGAAGCCCCTTTTTTCTCTTTCCTCCCCTTCCTCCTCCTTGTTGGGGGGCTGTGGGCTTCCTAGAGGTGGTGGCCCAGCTGCCTCTGGTGTCCCCAGATCTCAGAGAACTTCTACTTCGACCTGAACTCGGACTCCATGAAAGGGCTGCTTCGGGCTCATGGCACCCACCCCGCCATCTCCACCCTGGCCCGCTCCGCCATCTTCTCCGTGACCTACCCCTCGCCTGACATCTTCCTGGTCATCAAGGTGCCTGCTGGGGCTGGGCAAGGGGGTGGTAATGGTGAATGTCACTGGTTCAGTCCCTGGCTTCCCAGAATGAGAAAGATATATCACCAAGAAGGGTAATCAGGGCCGTTGTGGGAGAAGTACAGGCAGGGAGGAGGCCCCTGACCCAACTCAGGTGCGGAGAAATCACCGAGGGCTTCCAGGGAGAGGCAATAGGAGTGTCTGAGGGCCCATGAGGGTTCCAGGAGGCTGGGGAGCCGGGCGGAGGGGACAGAGGGTTTGAGCAGTGCCTCACTGGAATCATTCATCGGCCCCGCAGCTGGAGAAGGTGCTTCAGCAAGGGGACATCAGTGAGTGCTGTGAGCCTTACATGGTGATGAAAGAAGTGGACGCCGCCAAGGTAAGCGTGTGGCCGAACTAGGGGCAGGGCAGATCCCTGACTCAGCGGTCCTGGGATGCTGAGCTGGCAGGGGACGGGGATCTCCCCATAGAACAAAGAGAAGCTAGAGAAGCTGCGCCTGGCGGCCGAGCAGTTCTGCACCCGCCTGGGCCGCTACCGCATGCCCTTCGCCTGGACGGCCGTGCACTTGGCCAACATCGTGAGCAGCGCTGGGCAGCTGGACCGGGACTTGGACTCGGAGGGCGGTGAGGAGGCGGGGCTCGGGGCGGGGCTAAGGGGTGGGGCTGCCGGGCCTGGGGCGGGGCTACGGGGTCAGGAGGTGCGCCCTCTGCTGGCTGAACTGTGCCGCCCCTGAGTCTCCCAGTGTCATCTCGGTCCCCCGTTTGTTATTGTCACTGACTCCTCTAGAGCGCCGGCCAGCCTGGACGGACCGCCGCCGTCGGGGACCCCAGGACCGGGCGAGCAGTGGGGACGATGCCTGCAGCTTCTCTGGCTTCCGTCCGGCCACACTAACTGTCACAAACTTCTTTAAGCAGGTGTCCTACCCCGGGGCCAGGGACTCCCCCATTCCCCACTGGCCACATCATCCCTGGGGACCCCTAGCACCCTGGCCCAGTTTGACGGCAGCGGGTCCCATGTAGGAGGCTGAACGACTCAGCGATGAGGACCTCTTCAAGTTCCTGGCTGACATGAGGCGCCCATCGTCCCTGCTGCGGCGACTACGTCCTGTGACTGGTGCGTGGCACACCCTGTCCATACACAAGATGTGTACTCTCAGTCACTCAACAAACCTACGCCGACAGCACCTACTGTGCCAGGCCCCAGAAACCCAACGATGACCGTGATAGACAAATCCCTGTCCTCAGGGGCTGGCTGCACCTGCTAACGGGGACCACAGACAAGAAGCAGAATAAACGAGATGGCTATCCTGTCAGTAGGGGGCTAACAGCAGGGGACAGGCAGGAGTCCCGGGGACAGAGCTGATCAAATGTAGGGATAAGGCCGGGATGCAGTGGCTCAAGCCTGTAACCCCAACCCTTTGGGAGGCTGAGGCAGGAGAAGGGGCATTTGAGCCCAGGAGTTCAAGACCAGGCTGGGGGGGGCGGCCAGGTGCATTGGTTCATACCTGTAATCTCAGCACTTTGGGAGGCCGAGGTGGGTGGATCACCTGAGGTCAGGAGTTTGAGACCAGCCTGGCCAACATGGTGAAACCCCTTCTCTACTAAAAATATAAAAATTGGCCAGGAACGGTGGTTCAAGCCTGTAATCCCAGCACTTTGGGAGGCCGAGGCGGGTGGATCACGAGGTCAAGAGATCGAGACCAACCTGGTCAACATGGTGAAACCCCGTCTCTAAAAATACAAAAAATTAGCTGGGCATGGTGGCACGTGCCTGTAATCCCAGCTACTCAGGAGGCTGAGGCAGGAGAATTGCCTGAACCCAGGAAGCGGAGGTTGCAGTGAGCCGAGACCACGCCATTGCACTCCAGCCTGGGTAACAAGAGCGAAACTCTGTCTCGAAATAAATAACTAAATAAATAAAATAAAAAATAAAAATTAGCTGGGTGTGGTGGGTCACACCTGTAATCCCAGCTACCTGGGAGGCTGAGGCAGGAGAATCACTTGAATCTGGGAGGCAGAGGTCACAGTGAGCCAAGATCTCCAGCCTGGCAGAGGTTGCAGTGAGCACTCCAGCCTGGGCAACAGAGTTGAGGGCAATTTCTGTCCCTGGCATCTGAGGGACACAGCCCCAGTCCCCAGAGAACACTGTGGGAGACTCTGCCCTGACTTCACCATCCAGAGAGGGTGGGCTGGGCCAGGAGGCTCCCAGGCAGGTGCAGACCGGTTCTTCCCTCCCCAGCCCAGCTCAAGATCGACATTTCTCCAGCTCCTGAAAATCCCCACTTCTGCCTCTCCCCTGAGCTGCTTCATATCAAGCCCTACCCGGACCCCAGGGGCCGGCCCACCAAGGAGATCCTGGAGTTCCCTGCCCGAGAAGTCTACTCCCCCCATACCAGCTACAGGTACGGCCTCCGGGGCCCAGCTGGGCACTTAATGGGGGGTATTCCTGCATCATGCTGGGTGGGGTCTCCCTAAGCTGAGGACACACATAGACACCCCGAGTGAGATGCCACGACTCTGCTTTAATGAGGGGTGTATAGGCGTGAAAGGGTACACATCCTTCCTCCACCCCTCCGCAATGGGACTAGTCCTCCGCCTTTGTCCCGGCCCACGTCCGTCTCTGCTCTGTGCTCGGAAGTGGGGCCCGGCGCCCTGGCTGATCGCAGTGGACAGGCAGCGCCTCCCTGGAGGGGGGCCTCGTGGGGCATGGCAGTGTCCATTGCAGCATGACTGGTCCTCAGTTCCATCCAGGCAGGTTCAGGCTGGGAGCGCTGCTGTGTGGAGTCTGGGGAGGGAGATGTGGCTCAGCCCAGGTGAGGGGGCCCCTTTCTAGCTGCCCTGTGTGCCCCCCATCTAGCTGCCCCTCCTGCCAGACCCCCACCAGGCTCACCTCTCATGGATCTGTCGCAGCCGGTGCTGCTGTGCCACCATCTCCCGCCTCTGCCGCTGAATGTGGCCTGTGAGGGCCCAGAGGGTGTGGCTCTGCTTGTCGGCGTGAGCCTGTGGGGTTCAGAATGCAACCCTCAGCTGGCGGCCACCTCACTTCCCATCCCCTGACCCCCTTCCCAGGCCTCCCTGCTGTATGTGTGACCCAGCAAGTCATCAGTGCTCTTTGGCCTCAGTTTCCCTATCTGTAAAATTGGGATTAAATAGGACTTCATGGGGTGGTGATAAACATCGTATGGATTATTAAAGGGCATAAAACAGTGCTGGGTACTTATTGGATACTCACGAAATGTTAACAGTTTCTCTAGTAGTAAGAATTTATTGGCTGGGCACAGTGGCTCACACCTGTAATCATAGCACTTTGGGAAGCCAAGGCAGGCAGATCCTTTGAGGTCAGGAGTTCGATACCAGCCTGGCCAACATGGTGAAATCCTGTCTCTACTAAAAAATACAAAAATTAGTTGGGTGTGGCAGTGCACGCCTGTAATTCCAGCTACTCGGTAGGCTGAGGAAGGGGAATCGCTTGAACCCAGGAGGTGGAGGTTGTAGTGAGCCAAGATTGCACCACTGCACTCCAGCCTGGGCAACAGAGTGAGATTCCGTCTCAAAAAAAAAAAAAAAAAAAAAGAAAGAAGAAGAAAAAAAAGTGGCCGGGCGCGGTGGCTCAAGCCCGCCCGTAATCCCAGCACTTTGGGAGGCCAAGGCGGGTGGATCACGAGATCAAGAGATCGAGACCATCCTGGTCAACATGGTGAAACCCCGTCTCTACTAAAAGTACAAAAAATTAGCTGGGCATGGTGGCGCGTGCCTGTAATCCCAGCTACTCAGGAGGCCGAGGCAGGAGAATTGCCTGAACCCAGGAGGCGGAGGTTGCGGTGAGCCGAGATCGCGCCATTGCACTCCAACCTGGGTAACAAGAGCGAAACTCCCGTCTCAAAAAAAAAAAAAAAAAGGAATTGGCCAGGCGTGGTGGCTCACACCGGTGAACCCAGCACTTTGGGAGGCTGAGGCGGGCAGATCACAAGGTCAGGAGATCAAGACCATCCTGGCTATAAACCCCATCTCTACTAAAAATACAAAAAATTAGCTGATCATGGTGGTGTGTGCCTATAGTTTCAGCTACTTGGGAGACTGAGGCAGGAGAATTGCTTGAACCCAGGAGGCGGAGGTTGCAGTGAGCTGACATCGTGCCACTGCACTCCAGCCTGGGCGACAGAACGAGACTCCATCTAAAAAAAAAAAAAAAAATGATTGAGCACCAACTGTGCCCACCCCATGCTGGATATTTTACCTGCATTGAGTGCCTGGCTCTCCTGGGAGATATCAGGTGTTGCCCCTTATTTGCAAATGGGGAAACTGAGGCACACAAAAGGACATGGGTTTTGTCCGGGGATATGCTGGGTAGGGGCCATGGAGCTGAGAGGCTGATCTGGGAGGTCTTTGGGACTCAAGTTGCAGAAGCGAGTTCTGGCCAAGAATCAGGGTCTCAGCCCACTAGGGCTGGGGGAGACCCTTACCTTTAAGGCCTCCAATTCCTCGTAGGCATGCCCCAGCCAGGCGCGCCTCAGCTGGACTTCTAGTTGCCGCACACTGTCTTGTAGAACCTTCTGCGCCTGGGCCACCTCCCCCAGCACCTCAGCTGTGGCCTCTGCGTGCAGCTGCAGGATATCCTCCTCCTTCTGCTTAATAAACAGTGGGTCACTAGTAGGATGACCAACTCATCTTTGTGTACCGAAGACTTGCCTGATTTTATCACTGAAAATCTTGTATCCCAGGAATCCCCTCAGTCCAGGGCAAACCAGGATGACTGGTTACCCTAGACATAAACTCCACTTTGGACTCCTGGCCACCCCACAGTGTCCGAGCTATGGTGCCCACCTGAGTATCCAACAGGCTTGCTCGAAGTTCCTGGGCTGCCTCTCGGCCCTGGCTGACCTCCTGCCCCAGGAGTTCCACTGTGCGGCCGTAGAGACCCAGGTTGCGCCTGGCCTTGGCCAGCCGTGTCTCTGTGGTCCTGTACACACCATTGAGGGCCTGGCCCAGCTGCAGGGTCCCATGGAAGAGCAGGGTCAGCTCCTCATGGCGTGCCAGTTCTGTGCCGCCCCCAGGGGCCACTGAGGCAGGCCAGGCTACCATTGCCAGAGCCCACAGGAGGCACAGAGCGAGCACTGGCATGACGGAGGGTCTGAGTTTGCAGCCACAGCACTGCCACTGATGCCTTTTATGCCTCACACCCCGCCAATCCCCAGTCAATCGTTAACTGGCCAGCCGGGTGCCCCACATTGCACAAGGGCCTGGCGGTGGTGCGATAGTTGCATCAGGCGAATGTCCGGCTGGGCCATGCTGGGATCACGCTTCCTGGGGCTCAGGGCCAGGTGTGGGTGAGGGGCACTGGGAGAGGACGGGCTCCAGACCCTGCTGGGAGTTCCTGAGACTCACCGTGCTCGGCCTGTTTCTCCATCTATGAATAGGCATTGCAATGATGATGGTCATAATGGTAAAGAATTTATAAGTACTGATGGTTTGCCCAGAGCCATTCCAACTGCCATTACAATATCTGCTCGTTCCCCTTCCACACATTTGCCACACTGAGGGGGCTTTTATTGGCCTGGTTCGTGGCCAAGGGAGCAGGTGCAGGTGGCAGAGACTTTCCCAAGGTCACACAGCCTGATCCAAACCCTGCATATGCCTGGATCACCACTGACTGCCATTTTACTCCCTGGGTGACTGTGCAAGTACCTCAGTTTCCCTGTTTGTAAAATGGTGGTGATGTTAGTCCTGCTTCATGAGCTACTTGTAAGAAGTAAATGGGTTATTTCATGTTGAGTGCTTAGAATGGGGCCTGGCACACAGTAGGTGCAATTATTGTATTGTAGTAGTAGTGTGTGGTGCAATTATTGTCATTGCTGTTATTTTATCATCATCAGTATCATTACACAGGCTCAGCTGTGTAAAACCGAGTGCCCATTATACACACAGGGAAACTGAGGCCCAGAGAGGGGTCAAGGCTTGCACAGAGTTGCCCCTGAGGGAAGGAGGCAGGACTCTGACTCTGGCCTCAGTTTCCGCACCTGAGAAATAGGCCTCGTGACTCTAGTGACTTCCTGAGGGAAGGGCAGTCAGGCCCCTGGGTGCGGCTTAGGCTTGACCACTGGCCACATGAGCCACCTTGGAACTCTGGCCCTGAGTGCCTCGCTGTTCTCTGCCTTCTGTGTATCACTGTGCCCCGTGAGTGCCTCCAAGGTGCCTCTATTCCCTCCCTCTACCATGCTGTCCCCAATCTGTGCTTTGAGGGTGCTTACTTGTCCCCCACCCTCTGCCCTCTGTCCTATCTCCTACCTGATGCCTGTATGACCTCCTGCCTGGCCCTCAACGCCCCAGCCTCGTGACCCACTCTCCCCGGACAGTCTGTGCTCCCAGCCAGCCTTGTTCCATCAGCCCAGCCTTGTGTGTGTGCACCTTCAGGGGCCCTGTCCCTCTGACACCCCCGTCTCGTCCCCCACAGGAACCTGCTGTATGTGTACCCGCACAGCCTCAACTTCAGCAGCCGCCAGGGCTCCGTGCGCAACCTCGCCGTGCGAGTGCAGTACATGACAGGCGAGGACCCCAGCCAGGCCCTGCCGGTCAGTGGCTGCGCCCCAGGGGAGCGGGGCAGGGCGTCCCCCGTGGATCCCTCATGCATCCACTCCTGCAGGCCATCTTTGGCAAGTCCAGCTGCAGTGAATTTACCCGTGAGGCCTTCACACCGGTGGTCTACCACAACAAGTATGTAGGGGACACATGAGGACCTTTGGGGTACCCCTGGGGGTAGGAAGATGTCCCTTATATCTACACATGGGGCAGCACTGATGGGAATACAGGATGAAGGGAGGAGGAAGCTCCCAGAGTGCTAATCAGGGGAACTGAGGCAGAGAGCAGGAACAGCGGAACCCACAGCAATGAGGGGGTGGCACAGAAGATGCAGCGGGGCAGACAGTGGGGACCCCAGCCCCAAGCAGATCCCCCCAGCCCGATTCCGCCAGGTCCCCCGAGTTCTACGAGGAGTTCAAGCTGCGTCTTCCAGCCTGCGTGACGGGGAACCATCACTTGCTGTTCACCTTCTACCACGTCAGCTGCCAGCCCCGGCCGGGCACTGCCCTGGAGACGCCTGTGGGCTTTACTGTGAGCTGTCCCCTCCCTAACTCCCCCAGAGCCCTCCTCATCCCCAAGCCTGGCCACAGACCTGACCCCCAGCCTCTCCCCAGTGGATCCCACTGCTGCAGCACGGCCGCCTGAGGACCGGCCCCTTCTGTCTCCCGGTGTCCGTGGACCAGCCGCCACCCAGCTATTCCGTGCTCACACCCGATGTATGTGCCCCGGAGCTCCTGCTGCCAATGCACAGTCCCGAGAAGCCCTCCCAAGTCACCTGCCTTTCTTCCTGTCCATCCTGAGAGGCTGGTTGTCCTCTGCTGCATAGCTCATCACCCCGTTAGTGCCTAGCTGTGTCCTAGCTGTCCACGAAGATTCCCGTCGCCTCTCTGCTCCATTCTCACTTTAGTCACCTGATCGCTGTCCCCGGCCCCCTTAATACCTTGTCATTCCCCACGAGTGCACCATCGTTAATGCCCCAAGGCTGTGAATCCTCCCATGCCATTTCCTGACCTACAAGATGATTATTCATTCACCCTGTGTCTCCGTGCTCCATCCCCCTCCTTGGCATGTGGGTTTCCAGCCTGCCCAGTGGACCCCCTCAGTCTCCTGGGACCAGGGCTGGGGCCAGGGTGCTTGGCTGCACCCCCCTACCCAGCCTGGGCTACACTCCGGCCACAGTGTCGCAATGGCTGGGGCTGCTGGGTGACCTGATCAGTCAGGCAGGGTGACCAGTGCCCACGCGGGGCCTCCCTCCCACAGGTGGCGCTGCCGGGCATGCGCTGGGTGGACGGTCACAAGGGCGTGTTCAGTGTGGAGCTCACGGCCGTGTCCTCTGTGCACCCCCAGGTACGGGGTGGGGCGGGAACCCAGGAGTCCTGCCCTGCTCCCCTCTTGCCTGTCCTAGGATTGAGTAACAGTTGCCAGTGGCGAGGTCTGGCCTCGCACCGTGGACGTGACTTTGGTCAGCTGGTTCCAGCTTACAGGGAATCTGCTGATTCAGACGGGGGGTGATCTTCGTCCCCTGGGGCCCCACCCTGCTCACCCCACATCCCTACCCAGGACCCCCACCTGGACAAGTTCTTCACTCTGGTGCACGTCCTGGAGGAGGGGGCCTTCCCATTCCGGCTCAGGGATGCTGTGCTGAGCGAGGGTAACGTGGAACAGGAGCTGCGGGCCAGTCTTGCGGCCCTGCGCCTGGCCAGCCCTGAACCCCTCGTGGCCTTCTCCCACCACGTGCTGGACAAGCTCGTGCGTCTGGTCGTCAGGCCCCCGATCATCAGTGGCCAGATTGGTGAGCGACTTTGGCCCCAGATCTGTCTCTCCTTCCAGCACATGGCTTCTCCGTCCTGAGGAGCTCTTCTGTAAGCCCATTGACCTCTCTGGCCATTTTCCTTACTTGAGCAGCGACCCCCAGCCCCCTGTACCCAGAGAAGGTCTTCTGTGACCCTTTAATGGGTCATGATCCCACGAATCCTGATGTCTCTATATTTGGAAAGTGGGCGGGGAGGGGAGAGGCCTTGGGCCCTGGAACCTGACCTCTGCTTGCCCCACAGTGAACCTGGGCCGTGGAGCCTTTGAAGCAATGGCCCATGTAGTCAGCCTTGTCCACCGGAGCCTGGAGGCAGCCCAGGATGCCCATGGCCACTGCCCACAGCTGGCCGCCTACATTCACTATGCCTTTCGACTGCCTGGCACTGAGCCCAGCCTCCCGAGTGGTGAGTGTTTGTAGAAAACCCTGGGAGACAAGAGCTATGTGGGAGAAGAGGCCAGGTGTGGTGGATCACGCCTGTAATCCCAGGACTTTAGGAAGCTGAGGTGGATGGATCATTTGAGGTCAGGAGTTCGAGATCAACCTGGCCGACATGGTGAAACCCTGTCTACTAAAAATACAAAAATTAGCCAGGGCCAGGCATGGTGGCTCATGCCTGTAATCCCAGCACTTTGGGAGGCTGAGGCAGGTGGATCACTTGAGGAGTCAGGAGTTTGAGACCAGCCTGGCCAACATGGTGAAACCCTGTCTCTACTAAAAATACAAAAATTAGCTGGTCGTGGTGGTGGTGGGTGCCTGTAATCCCAGCTACTAGGGAGACTGAATTGAACCCAGGAGGCGGACATTGCAGTGAGCCGAGACCATGCAGCTGCACTCCAGCCTGGGTGACAGAGTGAGACTCCATCTCAAAAATAATAATAATAATAATAATAATTAGTCAAGCAGGGTAGCACACATTTGTAGTCTCAACTACTCAGGAGGCTGAGGCAGAAGAATCACTTTTACCTGGGAAATGGAGGTTGCAGTGAGCTGAGATCGCACCACTCCACTCCAGCCCGGATGACAGAGTGAGACTCTGTTTCAAAAAAAGAAAAAAAAAGAATGAAAGAGACATCTGGCAGAAGAGCATCCAGGTAGTGAGAATAACACGTGCAAAGGCCCTGAGGCCTCACAGGCCTTAGCTGGTTTGGGCAACTCGAAAGAGAGGCAATGTCTTGCCCACTTTTACCCCGTCCCTGGGGTGGGGTCTCTGTTTGTTTGGCTGGAAAGTGATTCAGACAGTCAGCAAGCCTCTTCAGTAGCTTGGAGTAGGGGCTGAAGCTGAGCTGCCTGGATGTGAATCCTGGCTCTGCTGCCTACAATCTCTATAACCTTGAGCAAGTGACGTCACTTCTCTGAACCTGGTTTTCCTTTTATAAAATAGGGATTATAATAGTATCCACCTCATGGGGACACTGGTAGTAGTAAGTGACATAGTAATGCACACGAAATGCTTAGCACATAGTGAACACTCAATTCTGCTGGATTTTTTTTTAATTTCCCAAAAACAAAAACAAAAAAATACTACCTCCTATGTGTCAGGATTATTCTCAGGATATTTTTTCTTTCTTCTTCTTTTTTTTTTTTAAGTCAGGGTCGACCGGGCATGGTGGCTCAAGCCTGTAATCCCAGCACTTTGGGAGGCCGAGGCGGGTGGATCATGAGGTCAAGAGATCGAGACCATCCTGGTCAACATAGTGAAACCCCGTCTCTACTAAAAATGCAAAACATTAGCTGGGTATGGTGGCGCGTGCCTGTAATCCCAGCTACTCAGG